GCACACTTAAAAAGAAGTATAACTTCGCCTCCAGGTCCTTCAAAAGAGTTATTGCCAAGGCAAAGTCAGAGCACATAGGCAGAATTGGCGAGAAACTAGTTCGCCTTCCTTCGGGAACCCGTGCATTCTGGTCTCTCGCCAAGGCTGTCCAAGGGAATTTCTGTAAGCCATCACTACCATCTCTGCACAGGGAGGACGACTCACTGGCCCACGACGCAAAAGAGAAGGCCGACCTTTTAGGCTCCCTTTTTGCGTCCAACTCGACTGTTGATGACGGGGGGAACACACCGCCGACCATCCCGCGGTGTGAGTGCTCTATGCCGGATGTGCTATTCTCACAGCGCTCGGTTCGCAGAGCACTCCTCTCCCTTGACATCCACAAGTCGAGTGGGCCTGACGGAATCCCCCCAATTGTGCTGAGGACGTGTGCTCCGGAGTTGGCACCGGTTCTAACGCGTCTTTTCCGGTACTCCTACTCCCATGGCGTTGTCCCGAACTCATGGAAGACAGCTTTTGTCCACCCGATCCCTAAAAAAGGCGACCGCTCAGACCCGTCCAACTATAGGCCTATCGCGATCACCTCCTTGTTCTCCAAAATAATGGAATCCATTATTAACTGCCAGCTCATCCGGTACCTTGAGAATCACCAGCTGATCAGTGACCGCCAATACGGTTTTCGTCGGGGTCGATCAGCTGGTGATCTTCTAGTCTACCTGACCCATAGATGGGCGGAGGCAGTAGAGTCCAAGGGGGAGGCGTTGGCCGTTAGTCTGGACATTGCGAAGGCCTTCGATCGGGTTTGGCACAAAGCGCTTCTTTCGAAGCTCCCTTCCTATGGGCTTCCCGAGAAATTGTGCAATTGGATCACCAGCTTCCTTGCAGATCGGAGCATCAAGGTCGTTGTAGACGGTGCATGTTCTGACTACAAGCCTATTAACGCTGGTGTTCCACAAGGCTGTGTGCTATCACCAACGCTGTTTCTTCTGCATATCAATGATATGTTGCTAACTGGTAACATTCATTGCTATGCGGATGACAGCACTGGTGATGCTCTATACACCGGCCGGGCCAATATTTCTCGGGAAAACGTCGCCGAGTACCGGAACAAACTTGTGTCTGAAGTCGAGTCTTTGCTGGACAAAGTCTCGGATTGGGGGCGACTAAATCTAGTCCAGTTTAATCCTCAGAAGACACAAGTTTGCGCGTTTACCGCTAAAAAGAACCCCTTTGTCGTATCTCCTCAGTTTCAAGGCACTCCCCTTCTTGCCTCAGCCAGTATCGGTATCCTCGGAGTCGACATATCGAGTGACGTGCAGTTTCGTGGTCACTTGGAAGAGAAGGCCAAATTGGCCTCTAAAAAGCTTGGCGTGCTCAGCAGAGCGGGACAGTGTTTCATGCCGGCACACCGCCTGCAACTTTACAAGGCGCAGGTTCGGCCTCACATGGAATACTGTTCCCATCTCTGGGCAGGGGCTCCCCAGTGCCAGCTCCTTCCACTTGACCGCATCCAGCGCAGAGCGGCTCGAATCGTCGACGACCGAGCCCTTTCCGATCGGCTCGATTCATTGGCACTGCGAAGAGATGTTGCATCTCTTTGCATTTTCTTTCGCATCTACCATGGGGAGTGCTCTGAGGAATTGTTCGGATTAATCCCAGCCGCCAAATTTCATGAACGCACATCGCGGCAGAACTCCCGATACCATCCACACCATCTGGATGATTGGCGGTCCACCACTGTGCGATTTAGAAGATGTTTTCTTCCTCGCACGACTTCCTTGTGGAATCGATTACCATCAGCGATTTTTCCGGACCGATATGACTTAGGGACCTTCAAGAAAAGAGCCTACTCCTTTTTAAAAGGCCGGCAACGCATCTGCAATTCCCCTGGTGTTGCGGTTGTTCATGGGCGGCGGTAGTCACTTACCATCAGGTGAGCCGCATGCTCGTTTGCCCCCTATCCCATAAAAAAAAAAAAAAAAAAAAAAAAAAATATAAACCTTAACACCAATAACTGGTACTATTAGCTTGCATCTCTTCCTACTATTTACAGAGTAAATATCACTTATTTTTTATAGACTAAAATAGGAGAGGGCAGAATCGCAACGTAACTGCAAGTACCTACGAGTATATAAACAGGGTTATTTTTCAAAGAGTAGCCAAATTTTAAACTTAAATTCAAATATATAACTAATGATATACCGTTACTGCAGTTTCTGAAAATACGAATAAATAAGGCTACTACTTTTTTTAAATTATCCCAAATTGAATGTAATTTATGGGCAACAACGTTTTTGTAATGGTCGATCCGATCGATGTGTGCGTGCGCAGTAAAATCTGTTAAAATATATCGTATTATTACCACGCATTTTGAATTTAAAAGACAAAAAGGACAGAACTATTGAGATTTTTTGAATTAATTTATCTTCACCTATATTATGATTTCTTATATTTACGCGAACACTACACATTGAATAAAACTATTTTTACGGATTTTATCGCGTTTAATTAACTTATTTTATATTCCCGACGTTTCGGTTGCTTTCCAGCAACCGTGGTCACGGGGGACTGAGGTGATTGACGTCCCGATGTCAGAGTTAAACCGGAGTACCTTCAGCTTTTTTAATTAATAATTTTGGTCCGATCTACGCAGAATGAACTAACCGTGTCTTGAAGTCTTGCAGTGGTATGCTTGGGTTTAGTTTTAGTTTTATGAATTACAGGATCCCAAGCAGGTGGTAGTACCCAGCCTCCCTCTCTATTGAAATTAGGATGTTTTTTAATTTCAATAGCCTCACGTATCATCCTTGGCAGGAATCGATGTTCTTTCGCGAGAATTTGTGATTTATCAAATCTAATGTTATGGTGGGGGCCGTCTAGGATATGATCACAAACTGTAGACTTCCCGGAACGTTGGTGCTTCACGTCAGCTATGTGTTCTTTTACGCGGGTTTTTATAGATCGTTTTGTTTGCCCTATACAATCAAGCTTGTACACTCCTGCATCTTGTAGAGGAATATTGCACTTGACGGATGGTAAGAACTGACTAATCTTCTTCGACGGCTTGAAAAATGTTCTAATAGAAGCTCGCTTCAAGATGTAGCCAATCTTGTCTATGACACCTCTGACATACGGTAGTACAGCAGGCACACGCTCGACCGTGGTCGGCTTCACTCGGTCACTGTGACGTAGGCGCGGAACCCGAAGGTTGTTGTCGTGCAGAACCTGCTTGACGTGCTGAAGCTCGGCGGCCAGGTGTTTGCTGTCACAGATCCCTCGTGCTCTCTGTAACAAAGATTTACCCACGGTAGCTAACTTTGAAGGGTGATGGTGGGATTCACCGTTTAAATATCGGTTTGTCTGCGTCTTTTTTCTATACACAGTGTGACCTATGGTATTATTAGGATTTCTAATGACTAACACATCTAGGAAAGCTAAAGAATTATTTGCCTCTAACTCTGTTTATGGAATTAAGATGTTCCAAAAATGCAGTTACTTTGTCTGATGGTAAAATTGTGAAAGTATCGTCTACGTACCGCTTGTAGAAACTTGGAGTTACTGGTGCAGTAAGCAGGGCTTTCTCCTCAAAGTCCTCCATGAAAATATCGCGACAACGGGAGATACTGGTGAGCCCATCGCAACACCATCTACTTGCTTGTAAAACTGTTCCTTCCACAATAGATAGCCAGATGTAAGGCAATGTCTTAGTAATACTGCATATTCTGCTGGCATGTTGTTTTCCTCTAGTTTCCTAGTTACAATTGAGATGCAGTCTTCAACAGGTAGGCATGTAAATAGAGACTGAACATCAAAACTGACCATAGTTTCATTGTCAGTAAGACATAGGTCTTTATCCCGCTGACAAAATGGTATGAATCCTTCGTGTGTGCTCTTGTGTGTCCTCTGAGTGGTGATAGTACTTTTGCTAGGTGTTGAGCCATTTTTGTAAGTTGGCGAATCGATCTGACTCACTATTGGATGTTATGGAGCGTTAAGTTTGTGTATTTTTGGTAACCCATACAACTTCGGTGGTTTCGCACACGCAGGTATTATCGAATTAACGTCTAGATTCATTTCACCTATATTACTTATTCCGAACCTTCTCTGAAAGTTGAAATTTGGACGGTTATTGCAAAATAATCCTTGATAAAAATGTGTAAGGGATGATTTTTCAATTCCCAGATAAAAGTTATCCATATCAAATAATATATAAGCTGATTGGTATAAAAGTGACTGACCGCCGCGATCAAGATTAGGTCTGATGGACTTTATTATTATAACCATATGGAAAGGTTAATCTCGTCCCATAAGTGACATTACGGATAATAAAGAGACCGTAGACGAGAGCGACAAACGTCTGCTACTGCGGCTGTTAGTCCATTAAATATTTATTATAGTTTTTTTTTTTAATTTTTATTTTACAAAACTGAAGTGACAAACGAATCTACTGTCTATCTGACGGTGTCTACTGCAGTCCATGGACACCTGCAGCCAGTTTCAAACAAAGAAGGCATCTTTATGTTGTTACTTGTTACCTTTAAGAACTATGTTGGAATACCTCACAGCCTGTAATTGCACTGATTCTCCCCTTCAATCTGGAAATCAGAAATGCAAGCATTGCTATTAGACGTTAATAATTTAAAATTTTGTACAACCGACCTTTTTTCTATAGAAAAAGGGTTACAAGCGAGCACACAGTCCTCCTGATGGTAAGTGGTTGCTGTGGCCCATGAGAAGCACCAGCTTTCAAATAAAAAAATCATCGAAATCGGTTCACCCAGAAAAAAGTTATGAACATAAAAACACACACAACACATAAAAAAACATACAGTCGAATTGAGTACCGTCTTCTTTTTGAAGTTGTTAGAAAATAGGTTTGGTAGATAGGTACCACCAGACGTACCCCCAGACAGAACAATTCCTACCACCTAGCTAATGTGGTGAAATGAAAAAAGGTGATATATGAAGGTATATTTATGTGTAATATTGTTTTATGGCTGCAGTGGCTCACACGGCAAACTACTGCGTGGTCATGGCCCAGCTCTACACACAAGGGAAGTGCCATGGCATACACCCATTCATCGTACAGTTACGAGACGAGGAGACGCATATGCCGTTACCCGGCATCAAGGTTGGCGAGATTGGAGCAAAGTTGGGCATGAACGGCACGAATAACGGCTTCCTCGGCTTCGACCACGTGAGGATACCAAGGGAGCATATGCTAATGAAGAACTCTAAGGTTTTAGAGGTGAGTTACTAACGTGACGTCACATGTGAAAGCATAATCCAAAGACCAATATATTTATAAATTATATATTATTTATCTTCTCAAAATAAAATGTAAAAGATTCATTGTTTTAAATATTTAGCTATGAATTTGACGGCTTGACGGCTACGTGGCGCAGTGGCTTACCAATGATATACAACCCTAAAGCTCGCGGGTTCGAATCCCGCACAGAACAAGTACATATTAGTATGGCCAGGCATGTCCCACTTCGCGCTTTAGACATGAAAATATACCTACGCTGCGTGGTCCGCTACAAGTGGCTAATTCCGTGAAGTTGTCACGCGCGCGCTTGAACTGAAGCGCGCCTTAAGTTAACAAAAAAGTATTTTTCTCTTATAAGTATTTAGCCACTTGATATTATGACTTACGCAACTTCAATACAGCTTGTATTGAAGAAGCGATGAAGCGGAATCAAAACTCCAAAGTCTTTGCCAGCCAACTGTCAAAGCTGAAGACATCGTTTCCGGGAGACCTGAGATTTTGAGGGGATTTGCATATGTAAGAAAAGAGCTACTCCTTTTTAAAAGGCCGGCACCTTTTAAAAAGGAGTAGCTTTTTTCTTGAAGGTCCCTAAGTCGTATCGGTCCGGAAAAATCGCTGATGGTAATCGATTCCACAAGGAAGTCGTATGAGGAAGAAAACATCTTCTAAATCGCACAGTGGTGAACCGCCAATCATCCAGATGGTATGGATGGTATCGGGAGTTCTGCCGCGATGTGCGTTCGTGGGATTTGGCGGCTGGGATTAATCCCAACAATTCCTCAGAGCACTCCCCGTGGTAAATGCGAGAGAAAATGCAAAGGGATGCAACATCTCTTCGCAGTGCCAATGAATCCAGCCGATCGGAAAGGACTCGGTCGTCGACGATTCGAGCTTCTCTGCGCTGGATGCGGTCAAGTGGAAGGAGCTGGCACTGGGGAGCCCCTGCCCAGAGATAGGAACAGTATTCCATGTTAGGTCGAACCTGCGCCTTGTAAAGTTGCAGGCGGTGTGCCGGCATGAAATACTGTCCCGCTCTGCTGAGCACGCCAACCTTTTTAGAGGCCAATTTGGCCTTCTCTTCCAAGTGACCACAAAACTGCACGTCACTCGATATGTCGACGCCGAGGATTCCGATACTGGCTGAGGCAACAAGGGGAGTACCTTGAAACTGAGGAGACACGACAAAGGGGTTCTTTTTAGCGGTAAACGCGCAAACTTGTGTCTTCTGAGGATTAAACTGGACTAGGTTTAGTCGCCCCCAATCCGAGACTTTGTCCAGCAAAGACTCGACTTCAGACACAAGTTTGTTCCGGTACTCGGCGACGTTTTCCCGAGAAATATTGGCACGGCCGGTGTAACAACATTACGTATCAGTATAACAACATTACGTATCTTCCTCTGTTTGTCCGAATTGGAACTAATGTCTGGAGATGTGTTTACCGTATTTTGATTTTGACTTGTGTTTATACTGCCATTTTGATCAAAACATTTATCGCTGTCACATGTTAAAGGCGTTTCGCTATTTAGTGTTTTATTTTCTAGATCTTGACAGGTAAATAAGTTTTTGCTGTCAGGAGAAGATGTGATAGGCGAAGACAGTTGTTGGCCACTATTTGGAGTGTTATCTGTATTACATATAGACCTTCTTCTGTACGAAAATTGAAGACTAGAAGTCTTCTATTTTCGTACAGAAAAAGGTCTACTTTCGTTGCATGCTATTTTTTATACATGTTTATTACGTCGTAGCATTTTTATAGATCATCTTTTAACTGTTTCATTTCACCGTGCAAGTTATCAATTTCGTTATTGGCCGATAATAGTTTGGTAGTCAGTTCTCCTATTTGTTCACGCATTTCTTCGCAGCAAATGTTAGCGCCACCTAGCGACGTATTGGCCAAACTAAACATCGTTGTGTCAAGTATAGATGTCTTGGATATATCTTGCATCGACGTAGATCGTCTAATTTTAACAATTCACAAATATATAATGTATTAACTCAGATTCGAAGACTCGACTCACTGACTGTGTACAACAAGAAGCGTACACCACTAGACCACGGAGTATTTAACTGAGCGTTTGAAATTATGAAGTACTTTTCTACGTGGTAGAGCCATGTTGCAGCTAGATTTCTGGTATAGTTGTAACACGAATGGGTCGGCTCGACCGGGGAAGGACCACGCTCTCACAGAATACCAGCGTAAAATAGCAGCTTAATGTTGCTGTGTTTCGTATAGTGAGTGTAGAGAACCGGAGACCCTTTTTACTGGAAACGAGGCATTTCATTTCTTAGTCCCCACGGGTGACAACGCATCTGCATTTTAATTCGTAATCGAGGATAAATGTAGATGTCTATGGGCCACAGCAACCACTTACCATCACGTGGACTGTGTGCTCGTTTGTCACCCTTATCCTATAAAAAAATCTTCTTAAGATTTATACTATGTTTAGGTGTTTGTGGGTATGGCTTAGTTTGAATTCAACATTTGTCTCAACCGTCTTTGTTGTTGTGTTGTGTGTAATTAAAAAAATATATTTTTACACTTTTATACGTTTTATATGATTAACACTGTGTTCATAATTGTTCACTTTCCGTTTTTTTTTTTTGTTGTTGTTTATTATCACTTCTTTGAACTTCTTTAGATTATTTCACTCACTTTATCACTAATTTTATATATTTATCGTTTAAAACGTGTCTAGTCGTTTATTGATGTATTATCACTGTTTTTATGATGATCGTGATGGTATATTGCATGTTTAAACTATTTTTAAAGTTAAAAGAATTACTGAGCTATGTTGACAGTACACGACAATTCCGTTTAATCAATAATGCCTTAAATGTAGATAGATAATTTACATGTAAAAGAGTTGTAAAGCTCTGAATACAATATTTTCAAATTGAAATAAATGATTTAAGTGAGCATTCAAAAAAAACAATGGTGCATATATTATTAATAACGGTAAATAGCTCGAACAATGCAACCGCAATATAGATTTTACACCTACTACTACATGTAAATTTTTCAAGAACAAAATTTATAATAAGTTTTGTATTTAACTCTATTATAGTCCATTTCATTCATTCATAATAACCTATTAAGACCCCAGCTGAACATAGGCCTCGCCCATATATTGCTTCATACGAGGACGACACTGAAAGTTTTTACAACTGGCAAGTTGTAAAAAGAGTGACATATAAGTAGATTCGGACAAGCTTAGGCATCGGTGTGAGTCAAGTGCACAAAATCCTCCATGAACATGTAGCGGTCAGGAAACATTCTGCCCGGTGGATATCTCATAATTTGACAAAGGCCCAAAAACTCCGTCGTGTTTATTGGTGTCGTGAAATGGTTCAGAGATTTAACGGAGGTGACTCAAATGCTGTGTTCGACATACTTACGGGTGATGAAAGATGGATTTATTGTTATGATCCTGAAACTAAGAGACAGTCTGCTGTCTGGGTGTTTCCATCCGAGGAGTTGCCAACTAAAGTTAAGAGAGGTCGAAGTGTGGGAAAGAAGATGGTGGCCTCGTTCTTCGGAAGGACAGGTTATTACGCAACAATTGTTTTAGATGTTCGAAAACCAGCTATTGCAGAATGGTACAATAACAATTGTTTGCCACTTGTCTTGGAAAAACTTCGGGAGAAACGACCTCGCAGTAGGATCCTCTTTCATCCACGACGACGCCTTGTCGCACACCGCCAAGCAAACAATCAATTACTTGGCGACGTTAGACGTGGAATTACTGGGTCACCCGCCCTATAGCCCCCCGACCTTTCGTTTTTTTTTTATTTCCGAAAATAAAACAAAGACTTCGAGGAAAACGTTTTATGGACGCCGGGGAAGCAGCAGGGAAGCTGCGTCTCAAAATGCCGTCGAAGAGATCCCTAAGGACGAGTGGGCAAAGTGCTTTTATCAGTGGTTCCATCGGATGCAGCGATGTATTGATGTAAATGGACACTATTTTGAAAAGATATAATAAAAAATAATAACTTACTAGTTTGTTCACTTTTTTATTTTCTAAGAACTTTCAGTATCACCCTCGTATGGGGGATATGATACTCTTGCACTTGCACGACTTTCGACCTGACCGCGAAGCGAGAGACGTTGGGCTTTACTTTATTCATATGGCTTTACTGTAGACTTAACAAGGTCACGCTACTCGCTCTCAGTAAATTCGTCGAAAAATATAAATATTTATAACTACTATAATATAATATTATACTAATTAAAATTTTAATTAAAATTTAAATGTTTAATCGTTTACATTAACTTATAAAAAAACTTATGCCTTGTGGCGTCGGCGTAAGATCATCCATCACAATCACACCAATCCGACCCACGGGTGTAGTGTCGTACGAGGCGACTATGGATAATGAGTAATCAGAAAGATCTCATAGCTTCCTATAGATTTTCCACGTGGTAGAGCCATCATGCTGCAGTTCTATTATGGTTGTAACACGATTGGGTCGACTCGACAGAATACCAGCCTTAAATAGTAGCACAATGCTGCTGCGTTTCATATGGTGAGTGTAAAGGACCGGAGACCCATTTTTTACTGGAAATGAGACATTACATCTCAGTCTGCAGCGGTGACACCGCATCATGTAAATATCTATGGGCCTAATATATAGCAAGACCGGCGACACGACGGCGAGGAGAGTCAAAGTTCCGATACGCCTAGTGTGATAATTTCCAGGCGTGGTTATTAAAGCCCCCATGTCTATCAGTTCAATTTTATAAAATTGCAAACTTATCCTTCTTTCCTAGGACGGAACATATGTGAACGTAACTAGTTCGAAGCTGACATACGGCACCATGATGTTCGTGCGCGTGATGTTGGTGCACGACGTGTGCAACTACATGGCCAAGGCGGTCACCATCGCCACGAGGTACTCCGCGGTAAGAAGACAATCACAACTGAGGCCCGAGTGAGTTATTATGTTAAATGATTTATTATAGTTCTCATTGAGTCTGTCCATTAGGTACTAAAAAACTGTACAATTTTGTAATTGTTGTTAATGACATTAACGCCGACGTCGCTGTATTTTTTTACCCGAATGCCCAGAAAGAGGGTAATATTTTTATAGGGAAGGACCACGCTCTCACGGAATACCAGCGTAAAATAGAAGCTTAATGCTGCTGTGCTTCGTATGGTGAGTGTAGAGAACCGGAGACCCTTTTTACTGGAAAAGAGGCATTCCATCTTAGTCCTCACGGCTGATAACGCATCTAGATTTTAATTTGCAACCGAAGACAGATGTAGATGTCTATGGGCCGCAGCAACCACTTACCATCAAGTGGACTGTGTGCTCGTTTATCATCCTTATTCTATGAAAAAAAAACTAATTAAGATTTATACTATGTTTAGGTGTTTGTGGGTAAAAAAAAACATATATTTTGAGAAAATTTTGTTTATAAACCATTTCCTTTCCAGCGAGCCAGAGCCTCAAATCCTGGACTACGTAACTCAGCAACACAAACTGCTGATCGGTACGGCATCTGTGCACGCGTTTCGGCTGTGCGCCGGCTGGTTGTGGGACATGTACAACAACGTCACCGCCGAGCTGGAGAGCGGAGACCTTGAAAGACTGCCAGAGGTATGTTTTACCTTTGACAAAGGTCAAAAGTGGCCGCAAATATAAGGGTTTTAAACGTTAGTTTGGATGTTGTTGATTGTTGCCACACTACGTCTCTGGCTCCTTTCCTCGTTACTTCCCTTGCCATTCGACGAGTGTGTGGCAGGGGGGTTGGTATCGAATAAAAATCAAAAGCAAACTCCTTACAGACTTCATACTCAAGTATCTTCACGCACAATCCCCCACGGGGTAGCCAGAGGCAACATAATTTAATACATACATTTGTATTGTTTGTTTACCTATATTTTCTGAGGGTATACATACTGCGATTAATTAAAAATATAAATTTTGTATTTCATTTCCGTTTTTTTTTTTGCATTGACATTTGTTCATTACATGCACATTAATTATGTAATCAACATCATACTACGTATTTATTGTACATAATACAATTGTAACTAATAATCTAGCCGCTTAGTGAGTCGTCGTCGTCGTCGTACCCCCCCCCCCCCTCCTCGAGTAAAATAGGTGATTGTGTTGTATGTGGGTGCAGCTGCACGCGCTGTCGTGCTGCCTGAAGGCGATCGCGACGAGCGACGCGGCGGCGTGCGTGGAGCGCTGCCGGCTGGCGTGCGGCGGCCACGGCTACATGCTGGCCTCCAACCTGCCGCTCATGTACGGGCTCGTCACCGCCGCCTGCACCTACGAGGGCGAGAACACCGTCATGCTGCTGCAGACCGCCAGGTACGCCAGACCCGCTCACACTTATGTCGCCTTACTACATAAGCACCACATTACATATTTTTTTATAGAATGGAGGTGAAAACGAATTTATTTCCTATTACGTATGGTATCTGCATTCACAATATTATGTCCGTAAACTTGTTAACAAGTGGCCGGAAACCATTTCGTCATTCAACCAATTCATCGGGAGTATTTTTTTTTATCGAAAAAAGGTGACAAACAAGCACACAACCCACCTGATGGTACGTCGATTCTGTGGCCCATAGACAACATTTATCCTCAATCAAAATTCAAAATCCAATTGCGTGTCACCCTTAACATCGGAAGACGGAATACCTCGTTTCTAGTAAAAAAAGTCTGCAGTTCTCTACACTCATCAACGAAACACAGAAGCAGTAATCTCGGTAATATGTTGTATGCAACAAAATCAAGCGGGGTATAATTAGAATAGTTTTTTTATTTCTTATATTTTTAGTTCGTTTTGACATGTTTTCGAAATATTAAGCTTTAAAGTAGCCCTACAATTATTTATAAAAAAGCTTGAAAAAAAATTTTTTCTACAGAATACGTTATTCCTCTTAAATTCCGTGCTCACTTTCGGTGTTACTCGATAGTTTTACTCTAAAACGAGTAAAAAATCAACGTGTGGATCGCAAAACAACTCGAAGGCTCGCATCGAGCCTGCTCGATGTAATTAAATAAATGTAATTTTCTTCGCACCTACTCGAAGCAAGCCGTTTCGAGCTTGGCTCGGGTGTAAGTACGATGTACTTTTCCGAACGAGTCGAGTCGTGCATCAGTCCGCCAATGTTGAGACATGTGTTTATTCAGAAATGAATTTAATAGTTTATTCGAAAGGCGTTATCGAATAATTTCTAAACATATATAGGCTTTGTTTATGGATCGTGAAGTCAAAAGAACGGAATATTATTAGTCCTTATTGCGAGACTTGCTAAATGCAGCCACTGTCTCCTTTGTTGAACAGACATATTTTGGCTCGAGCGGTTCGGTTAATACTGAACTGAAATTCGCACGTCGCTCGAAAGATAAATGTTGAATGTGATGACGAAAGCATTATATTACGTACCGTAATTTTTACTTGACGTGTTTGCTCGATTGTGTAAAACGGTATATGAGTACAGAGTATTATACAAAAATATATTATATTATGAGAAAACTTTCGATTAAAATTGGACCGTGTTGTGCAGCAATGCTTCAACCCACAAACAGGCCGAAATTTTCAAATATGAAAGTCTTCTTAAAAATAACAAACAATTTTCTTTAAAATGATACATAACGAAATATAATAGGATTTCTGCCACAAGCCAATACACTTATCTTTCAAATCTTAATAATTATATTTGAAGGTTGAATCATTTCTGCTCAACACAGTACAATTATAACGACGAGTCTGCGAGTCGAACGAGTCACGAGCTCTATGGTTTGGTAAAATGTGTTACAGGTACCTGGTGAAGGCGTGGCACCAGTCAGGTGCTGCACTGCCCCCCACCGTGGCGTACCTGGCGCGGGCACGCGACACTCGCCTCACGCATTCTCAGCCGTGGCGCAACGAGCTCGATGCCATAGTCGACGGATTCCAACGCATCGCTGCCGGGTAACTGACCTTTTATTACTTATTCGCTCCTCGTATATTCGGGTGTGCTCACCTATTTTTTTTTTATAGGATAAGGGTGACAAACGAGCACACAGGTCCACCTGATGGTAAGTGGTTGCTGCGGCCCATAGACATCTACATCTATCCTCTATTACAAATCAAAATGTAGATGCGTTGTCACCCGTGAGGACTAAGATGGAATGCCTCATTTCCAGTAAAAAAGGGCCTCCGGCCACCTGCACTCACCAAGCGAAACGCAGAGGAAACCTCTACTTCACGCTGGTTTTCTGTGAGGTCGTGGTACCGCCCCGGTTTGAGCCGGCCCATTCATGCGACAGTAAAAGCTGCCGCGTGACTCTACCACTGTTTATTTATTTATTACTAACTGCTCATTCAACCAATCAAACCAACCTACCTTTTACTGCTCCTGGTGCATTCTAGTGTGTTCGATGCCATCGTTGAGGGCTTCCATCCACTGCATCGTTACCGGGTAACCGACCTGAGCTTCTATTACTTATTCTCTACTTGTACATTCGGGTATGCTCACCTACTACTCCTCATTCAACTAGCAAAGAGCTAATATGAGTGCACCAACACTTTACTGTTCATTCGCTCCTGGTGCATTCGGGTGTGCTTAGTGCCGTTGCCGGCAGGTATTGCGCCGGGCAACATCCGAAGGTAGACCCAACTGACTTCCGGCTTACGATAAATAACTGACCTCCTACTGCTCATTCTCTCCTGGTACATTCGGGTTCGGAAGTCAGTACGACTAGGGTCAATTTTGATGTGGCGAATTTTGCGTTTTATTCGTTTTATCATCTTCGACAATTATTAATTGAATGGCGTCGGCCTCTTCAACATTTTACAGTCTGTACTCGTCGTCAATTTTTGTAACGTTATTATGTTGTAAAGTTTTCATTCATTCACATTACAAGTCTATCAAAATGATTTCTTATATTTACGCGTACACTACACATTTAAATAAAACTAATTGTACGGATTTTATCGCGTATATTATTTTATATTCCCAACGTTTCGAGCACTTTACAGCACCCACGGTCACGGGGGGGGGGGGGGGGACTGAGGTGTATGACGTCCCAATGTCATAGTTAACCACGGCTACCTACAGATTAAAAATTATTCATTTTTGTTCCGATCTACGCAGTATGAACTTACAGTATCTTGAAGTCTTACAGTTTTATGCTTGGGTTGGGATTTAATTTTATTAATTATGGGATCCCAAGCAGATGGTAGCACCCAGCCATCTTCTCTATGGAAATTAGGATGTTTTTTGATTTTAATAGCCTCGCGAATCATCCTTGGAAGGAATCGGTGTTCTTTAGCGAGGATTTGTGGTCTATCAAATCTAATGTAGTGACGGGGGTGATCTTGTACGTGTTCACAGACTGCAGACGTCTTGAATAAAATCCGTAAAATTACTTTTATTTAAAAGTCTATCAAAACTCCTGTACTGAACATATGTAGGCGTCCTCCATAGATTGCCTCATAAGGGGAATTTTTGAATAATTCCTGCGATTGGTAGGCGGGTTGGCATCCGCACCTTTTTTATTATTTTAATTTGTAAACAAAAAGATGTTGCTGCCCATCTGCTGTTTTATTTCCCTCTGTCGCGTCTTAAGACACCTACGGAATGGTATGGGGTAGTGGATACCCAGGCAGAAAAATACCACTTAGTAAAAGACAACGCTGCATTTAGCATAACGTTGTGTTAAATAACATTCCGCTAGAACATAAAACTATGGTGGCAAAATTTAAAAAAGCGTTCTCTGTCTACAATCTGAACGATATTTTTGTGTGTGAAATTTCAAATATAGAATTCACTTTTTATTCTGCCGTATCAAAAGAACTAAGTTTGTCACAGTGTATTAAAACCAAATTTAATTCTTTCGGCAGGAAAATTGCACTATGCGTGGCTCAAATCGAAAAACGACAGAAGAGTGGTATGCCATACGAGGATGCCTGGAATATGACCTCCGTGCAGCTAACATCAGCGTCTGAGGTAAAACAGGTTTTAAAAATATATTTTTTAATGAAATACAAATGTCTCTGTATTTATTTTTTTATTTTTGCATAAATAATACAGGTATATCAAGCAAATAATAACGAATTATACGTTCTTTGCAGCATCCATGAATTGACGTCCTTATGTCATTATTAACTGCCGTTTTAACGTTAATAAACTTACTTTTTTTAATTTTAAATAATCATATATTATTTATTTATATTAATAACAATTGCTGCAAAGAACTGGAAACGTCTTGAATAAAAAATAAGTTTAATAGCAAATTCAAAATCATGTTTCACTATCACAATCACTACAGCCTATCAAAGTCCACTGCTGAACATAGGCCTCCCTATAGACTGTCTCATAAGGAGGATGTTTGCCATAGTTGCCACGCTTGGCATGTTGGTTGGCAATCAAAATCGTGTTTAAAATTTGTTTATCTCAAGTATAACTTTATATTTAAGTGTAGTAATTTCTAATTACATATTATTATTTATATAAAATTGACAATGTTGAATTCAACAGATTCAATAGTTTAGGTTTCAACAAAGTTCCCTTAGGTAACCTCAGAACAATGAATGTAATTTCATTTCCTCTCCAGGCACATTGCCGCGCTTTTATTCTGTCCAGTTTCCAAAAAGAAACTGAGAAATTGGTGAAAACGGTGTCTGCTCCACTGCGCATAGTTCTTCTGCAGCTCGTAGAATTGTACGCGGTGTATTGGGCACTGCAATGTGTTGGAGATTTACTAAGGGTAAGTGATTACATTATTTATTTGCAGTTATATTTTTGTGTACATGTTTTACTGATATATTTTTACTTCTTTTTCTACTTTTTTTTTTCACCAGTTCTCATCAATATCGGAACGCGACATCGAAGGTCTTCAAAACTGGTATGAAGATTTATTGTTCAAGCTCCGACCGAACGCAGTGGGATTGGTAGACGCCTTCGACATTCGAGATGAGGTCTGTTGAAAGCTTGTCTATTGAAATTCAATATAAGTTGTTCAAATCATATTACCTAGTATGCGTGCGGAGTATATAAGGAAAGATTTTCTTACAACTTCACTTACTTACACGTCAAATTTCATAACGCGCCGCCATTTTAAGATTTTTAATTTATGTACTAATTTTAAGGAATATATTGTACTAGCGATCCGCCCCGGCTTCGCACGGGCGATTTCGGTATCTCGACAAGAGCGCCGCCTAACGGATCCAAATGTGAATCTCAACCATCTAGAGACCCATTCAAACACACAAAAATTTTCATCAAAAGCCGTTGCGTATTTCAACCGGTTCAGTGCAGATGACACGCCAGGTGTGCCATCGATTACGAGTCGTGTCTTTTTAAAAATCGTTATAACTCGCTCAAATTGCGTTTTTGGAAAATTTATCCAGAACAAAATATTCATTATTTTACTAGTACAGCTTCGTTTCTGGATATTTTGAAAATTTGAAATTTTTAGGGGTTGACAACCTTTTTTTAACTTGTACATGGTACTCTTTTTACTTTGTGGGTTTTCAATCATGTTGTGGAAAAATAGTCTAATAAGTAACAAATAATAGCACTTATTTCGATCGCTCATAAATTCAAGTTGTAAATAAATTTCTGGAAAAAAAGTTAAAAAAAAACAATGCGTTTGTCTTATTTTTTAATTTTGCTTAAAATGGTTGAACTGCCGTCTTATGTATCACATGGCCGAATAGACATACGAAGTACCATGTGCTCTTGTGATATAGTATAAGGTTTATTTTTGTTTGAAACTGTTCGAAACTGTTCACGTATAAAAAAAGTTCGCTAATAAATAGTCTTTTGTCAATCCGCCGCCGTATAGCACCGGCGTTTTTTTTTCCTTTTGAAAACACTTATTCTGCTATTATTATTATACTAATTTTTTTTACTTGCTATTCTTACTAAGTAGACGTTTTCAGACCGACTTTACTTTTACATTTGTATAACATTAAATAATATTTAACATTTGTAAATATCAATGAATCATAAACCTTATTTTTGCCAAATTAAGGTTCTTGATTATTTGATATTTACAAATGTTATTATTAGGTGAAAATTTAATTTAATAAAAACCAAGGTTTTCCAGGGTGATTTAGCTGTACCTACTTATATAAATGATTTTTTATAAAACAAAAAATAGTACAAAAGGTTTGTAATCTGCATAAAAAAAGTCACTTACTCTCAATTTCAAAGAAAACACGTAGAAAAACACGTAGTTACCCACTAAAAACAAGTATCCTTCCGTTTGTAACTGAAGTTTGATGTCAACTAAACTTAATTAGGTCTAAACAAGTGAAAAAAGCATAAAAAAGAACATTACTTTAACATCAGTCCTATCTCTCAAGTTGGACCAAAATGCACACAGTGTGCAAAATTTCATTGAAATCAGTTCAGTAGTTTAGGAGTCCATCGCGGACAAACAACGTGACACGTAATTTTTATATATAAAGATAAAACAATCTATTCTATTTTTATATAAAATTTCAATTTTTTTTCTTTAAATATTTGTCTGTATATAATTTTAATAATTGTCTGTCAGTAATATTGAAATAACTGCTTCTATTCATCTCAGAGGGTTTTTATTAGAACTATGTAACAATTTTTAAAAGTTTTGTCTGTCTCTGTCCGGGTTTATCTTCAGAATGGTTAAACCGATTGTGATGAATCTTTACAAACAGAGAGCAATACCAAGAGTGATCTTGAGACTCTACCATAGAGGATTTTGTGAAATCAAAAAACTGATAAAATAAATGTGTTTGATGATTGTTCATAAACTATTAAAATCAATTGCAGTCCATTAGTCTCAATTTCGATTATGATTAAACTTTTTGTGTGTTTGAGTGGTTCCCTGGGTTTAGATACGTAATTGGACCCGGCAGGTGACTCTGTTGACGAGATCCACGAGAGAAATCACCCGTGCGAAGCTAAGGTGGACCGTTAGTTAGATATAAAAAATGGTCGGACAAAACTTTTTGGTATGAAATTTTACATAGTTATTATCAATATAATCACAAGATCTGAAACCGACAAGTAGCGCTGTCGTCGAGTTAATAATAATTTTACATTATAACTAAAAATTCGAAATTAATTCAGAGTGAAATTTATTGCGCCACCCGGAAAAGGCAGACGTGGTAGCCCATGCTGCAGCTATATTAGTAGTATAGTTGTAGCACGAATGGGTCGGCTCGACCGTTCTTCTCGAAACATTTTTAATTTCAAGTCTTATTTGAATAGTTTATCACCTGCCGAATCTTATTTTGTTTGAAACTGACCGCACTCTTAAGTCTCGTGATTCCTTCTAATATCCATTCTGTGAAAGTTGTATGTTGTACCTTTAAGTTGAAACCGATTTAAATTAAATATATCACATAGATTCTTAGAATGGCAAGAATCGAGATCAGTGTATACTTTAATATGTGCATGAAGCCGCGGGCCACAGCCACAGTTAGTAAGGAATAACTAATGCAAAATATCCGTTTATTTAAGAAAAAATTAATTCAAATATATTATATAAAGCTATAAGAAACAGGAATGGCCTTTAGTGAAGTTTGTAGAATTTGCATAGAAGTATTAGGCTTAGAACCGCAGTAGGCGCACGCAAAGTGAAGCCATTTCAAGTTAGCCTTTAAAGGCTAAGTACGACTTTTGGCGCGTTAGCACTCGAGTCCACGTAGTCGTGTACACAGCTCGCACAAATTTTCAAAAAACAGCTGAAATGATTATCTGACAACTATTCACTTGTTAAGTGTAAGTGGGACTGGATTGGAAAAACTGGAAGAAATAGACGTAGGCATTTGCCTCCTCCATTTCTTCCACTTCTCTATATATCATAGAATAAGGCCATTGAGTATTATATCAAAATTAATATTTACAAATAATATAAGATTTTATGGAACATAAATAACAGATATTTATATAAATATACCACTTCTAACAGAATAATATAATTACATAATAGATTGGTGAATATAACACAAGATATTACGTATATAAATAATTTAAATATTACATAAGTTAACGAAAACAAATAATGTTACATTTTTCTCTTTGCAAATAGTTAATAAATAATTATAAACGCAACCTAAATATTAATTCTATAACGATGTCTACAATTACATTTTCCTCACTTTTTGGGGAAAATGTCATTAACTTGCAAACATTACTCATTTGCTTGTGTGTGTGTGTGGGCAAACGTAATTACAGGCCGCTTATGCACACATTCATTGTGTTATTGTTTCAACTTTGAACGGAATTTTGAATCTCACTATCACTCAATGTAATTACTCTAAGGTTGAACATAAATGTAGATGTCTATGGGCCACGGCAACCACTTACCATCAGGTGGACTGTGTGCTCGTTTGTCTATATGTATAACGTCTGTGGAGCCAGATTGAAATTTTGTGTATATTTATAACGTATATATTTTTGTATTAAAAACAATCATTATTTATTTATTTCATGTGTGTCTTTGCAGATTTTACGTTCAGCTCTCGGCGCATACGACGGTCGTGCATACGAGAGGCTCATGGAAGAAGCTATGAAGAGTCCACTCAACGCGGAACCCGTCAACCAAAGCTTCCAGAAATATCTAAAGCCCTTCATGCAAGGAAAACTATAGACACATACACATGTAATCTTTACATTTTCTGTAGAGCTTACCTAATCTATATTCTATACAACTTATTTTTATGGTGCTACTTATTCTATACTACTTACGAATAGTATTTTAAGTGAGAAAGATAAGGACTGAAAATAATCTTATTGAAATCGTTTAAAACCATCGCTTCTCAAACTGGTGAGGATTATACTATATTATGTCGACCTGTTGAAATGTGTTGAAAATAAATCACGTATGAGTATATGAAAACAACACTATAATAAGTGATAAATGTCGTTTTGACGAGTGTAGGTGTAGATATAGTCTATGAGCAATAATAATTATTAAATATATTTGATATTGCAGCAATTAATGTCATGGACAATTTGGTTATTTCCTTTTTAATATGCATCACTACTGTAAAGAGTAGTTGTTTATTTAATTTTGTAATTTTAATTGTAATACCAAGTTTAAACAGGGGGTTAGATGAAAATCAATTGAATTAATGTTTAGTTTTTGAAATTATTAGGAACTGATATTATTTGTGTTAAAAAATATATTTTATGTATAGATTATATATATTTTATGTTATGCAAATATGGTTATTAATTATTATTGACTAGCAAAATTAATTTTAGATTGAATTTTTTGATTTTTATAGCGGTGTTGGTTGAAAACATTCCACTACCCATTTAAAAAAACAATGTGGGTTTTGTATGCTACTTTTTTAATAACATAGAAATTATATGAGATTTAATACGATTGATATTATGAATAAAGTTTTTATATTTGTTTTTTTGTTCGACTTCTATTCATTTTACATCTCTTCAACAAATATTACCTAATATTCTGTTATACTTTGAAAATTAATTTTATTCGTGTTGCATTTTAACACATTTGATTGACCCACTTTCTTGTCTGGTCTCCCTAGAAACTTTAATTTATTTTTTGTTAAACTAACTTATACGTTTTTTTGTTTTTTCTGCATTATGGGGTTATAAATTTGTATGTGGTTAAGAGAAAATTCGTTTTTGTAATTTATTATTATATTTAATTTTTAAATACTGGCATTTCACGTGGATGGTGGGGTGGTATGCTGTAAAAAACATGTTTGAAATTCATGATAAATTAAATAATATAAAGCCAAGCAACATCAACAAACATCTAACCAGTTTAGATAAATTAACTATTGGGATAGTAATTAATCTAATAATCAAAAACAGACAGAGATAGATTACATAACATTTTTACTAAAAATTATATGTTTGCACAACTAACGTGATTAAGCAAAATATATTATTGTTATAACGAATAGTTTATGGCTGTTGCTAATCATACAATGATCTTATATACAGGGTGTCCCAGTAATGGTGGATAATCTGGTACGTGCGTGTTCGGGCGGGGGTGAGGGCCTGGGTTCCCTAAAAAAAAATTCTATCCCGAACGGTTCGCGGTCTACGCCATATTTTATAAAATTCCGAAAATTCGTACTTCTGATCACATTTGTGGTCATCACGTCCGCAGTTTAATGCCTAGATCGGATTTTTTTCTTTTAATGTGTTCCCTAATAATGATGTTTCTAAATTACCCTTAAAAGTTTTTAACTACTATGGGTAGTATTTTACAAGACGGCACTAAACATAAGTTCAAATTTTTACTTTATTTAACTGCTAAGTTTGAGCAACTGTGGTGAAAAAAAAACGTATAGGATCTATGTGGCCAACCATTTAAAAAGTTTGCCTATATCATAAGGATTCTAAAACATTAGCATGCCATGTACTTAATGTCATTACTTACTGAGCTATAGCCGTTAATGTGTAAAAGTAGGCATTTCATTACAAAATTATTGGCAGAAAGTTTTTTTAAACTTTGCATGTCTTTATTAGGTAAGTACATTTGTCGCTTTTGAAAATTTTACTTTACTACCTGCTCGCCTAGTAGTTAAAAACTTTTAAGGGTAATTTAGAAACATCATTATTAGGGAACACATTAAAAGAAAAAAATCCGATCTAGGCATTAAACTGCGGACGTGATGACCACAAATGTGATCAGAAGTACCAATTTTCGAAATTTTATAAAACATGGCATTGACCGCGAACCGTTCGGGATAGAATTTTTTTTTTTAGGGAACCGAGGCCTCCTCACGCACGTCCAAACACGTACGTACCAGATTATCTACCATTACTGGGGCATCCTGTGTGTATATATATATACATATATATATATACATATGACTAACAGTTTTTTGTTTATGTAGCACATAAATCGTAAGCTACTTAAATTTAATATACATATAAATGAACTTACTTATTTAAAATTCTTTTTTGCACATCATACAAAACATACAGAATAGAAGTATGCAATGGGCGGTCTTATTGCTGACAGCAATTTCTCCCAGAACCAATGAATGGACAGGATTGAACGAAGATAATAGGGGTAGGACAAATTGTGTGATAGAAAAAAAAAGGTAGAAAATAGTACACATATTTTATATTTATAATATACATAAACTACAAAATTATACAACGTGTCCACGTCATCGTCAAGCGGGCACGGGGCGAGAGAAAGGGGGTCATACCAGCCCTGGGAAAAATAAAAAAATCCATATCAGTTATAACTTTATTTAAAGCGTTCTGTCAGTCTTTCTATACCGGTGGTCTGTGGGTGACTTATACACGCCGGACCTACAGCGCCCTGCGTGTTCAATATAACAACGCTTTTAGAATGCTGTTGAGGCTGCCGTGGCGCTGTAGTGCCTCTAAAATGTTCGCAGACGCACACACTAATGACTTTTTCGCCATAATGCGTAGAAAAGCAGCGTCTCTCCTGCAGCGCTTACGTACCAGCAACAACGGCATCCTAAGGGTAATTGCTGCCAGGCCCGACTGCCCCATACTGCACCACTGTATGACGGTAGCTATTGGGCGAAAAAAATAATTTGTACATAATTCACATTACTACTACACTAACAATACTAACTTACAAGTTAAGAAAAAATTGTTACTAACATACTAACAATCTATGGATGTTCCTTACGTCTGAAATAAATACTTATTATTATTATTATTATTATTATAAAGGTAATCAAGGCTCGACTTAACCAACACGATAATGCCTTGCAATTTTTCTGGGTTAACGTGATGGCCGTATGGTTTACTCCACTCAATAATTCGTTCGAGATCTGCATGGATGACTTTGATAACATTGGGGAGATCGTTGGGACAATCTGTAGGGAAGCGGGATTAGTTTCCTCTGAAATAGGAATACCTTCAGCATTTTTTAAAAAAAAAACTACTTGTAGAAATGGAGTAGTTTAAGGATATGATAAATAATAGGAAGGATAATATCAAGAATAGGAAGAATCATGTTACGACTCACACAGTGACTTCCCACTGCATTGGATGTAATAGATAGAACGCTCTTCTTAACGTCACAAGCAGAGAATGGTTTAAAAACAAAAGAGGAGTGATTGGGAGTGAGAATAGTTGAAAGATATGTTAGTGTATTAACCTAAGTAGTAGGTACTATCTAAGCAGGACGAAGAAGAGAAATGTTTATGTAAACGATTAACGTTTAAATCGTTTGTCGTTGGAGTATTCTTAGATTTCTCAACACTCAATAATCTAAGAAGTTTCCAGACCTTTGCTGTTTGGTGCCATTTTCGCCTGACTTATGAATATGAAGGCGTTGAGCATCCCTGCACACCTTATTACAGTGATTTAGAATGTTAGTATACTTTTCCCTATTAAACGCATTCGGCTTACGTTTATAATTAACCTTAGCTATCACTTTTTTAATATTAAATGGTTTTATATCGTTAGTAACCCAAAGTGATTGATAAATTTTATGTACCTGAGCGTGACGGTTACGAGAGTTCAGTGCTTTTTCATCTCAAAAATAAATAAATAAATAGGGAAAGTGGTAAGTTAGTATACTTTTCCCTATTAAACGCATTCGGCTTACGTTTATAATTAACCATAGCTATCACTTTTTTATTATTAAATGGTTTTATATCGTTAGTAACCCAAAGTGATGGATAAATTTTATGCACCTAAGCGTGACGGTTACGAGAGTTCATTCTTTTTTCATCTCAAAAATAAATAAATAAATAGGGAAAGTGGTAAAATTAGGAAAAAGAAATTAAATAATTTTATAGTATTCCTCAATTTTGTGCCATTATGTCTCGAAAGCAAATGAACCCCCTCTCCGCATGACTCGCCTCCTAACTAAACACAACAATAAACTCAATAATCGAAAGTAAAAGCAATAAAAATTTAACTGGAAATTACAAAACGGCCGATCCATAGATACTTCATACAAAGTATGGAGTGTAGAGTAAAAGGAGAACCATCTTATAAGGGACGAAAGTTGAAAAAGTGTCCCACTATATACTAAAAATAGAGGTTCCAAAACCTACCACAATAGCGCTGGCGTCTGAAAAACTACGATATGAATATAGCTGTTGTAGACGGAGTGAAGTCCGTCCTATGCTACTGCAGCGCCACCTTATTGGACGCGTTTTTGCGTTTTTAAGGACACTTTTCTTATACAGAGATGGTCCTCCTTGTACTCTACACTCCATAATACAAAGTGCTAGGTGTTATACAGCATAGATTTTTTGGAGTTTATGGCCTGGTATCCTAGGCCTGTTAGCATATTGTTGCCAGGTCTCCCAATTTTCGCAGGACGTCCCGATTTTCAGAGATCTGTTCACACGTCCCTATTCACTCTTGATCGGGAAGCCATATGTCCTCATTTTTAGGGTTCCGTAACCGAAGGGTAACCAACGGAACCCTATTACTCAGCCTCCGCTGTCCGTCCGTCCGTCCACCCGTCCGTCTGTCTGTCAGTATCTCAGGAACTGTAATTGTCAGACAGTTCAAATTTACACAGAATGAGAAAATATAAAAATAAATTAAAAATTTCACCAGTCGCATAGCAACAAACCTTACGAAGACGGTCTATATCCATGCCACCAAAGTTACGATACAGTAGAATTTTTGATTTAAATTTGGGAGATA